ATCGCAGGTATATTGCATATGATAACCTCAACAACACTTTTGGCTTCCTGAACAATATTTCTGGTGTTACTGTTCCAGAGCTAAGAAACAAAGCATCTCATCTCCAAAGTAAATATTCAGCTGACTTGGAGACGGACTTTGTGGAGGAAATTGTCCAGTTTAAAGATTTTATTTGTGATAAAGGCATCACATCTGCTCGATTGCTTTTACAATTCATTAGGGAAAAGAAACTGCAGGACATCTTCCCAAATGTGGATATTGCTTTCAAGCTTTACCTGACATTTCCTGTCACAAATGCAAGTGGTGAGCGATCATTCTCCAAGCTTAAAATAGTTAAAAATAGACTCAGATCCACAATGGGACAAGAAAGACTGAACCATTTGACTCTGTCTATTGAGAGTGATCTAGTGAGAAAGCTGGACTTCAGTGATCTTGTCAAGGAATTTGCAGTAAAAAAATCCAGAAAAGTGGGCAACTTTTCAAATTTCATATCAGACTAAGCTTAAATGTCTGATAACCCTTTCACTCATTACTGAAAGGGCTTGGCGTTACTGGTTAGGGCAGTGGTGTCCAAACTGTTTGACATGAGGGTTAAAATTATCTCAAAAGAACTTTGGGTCTGTAAAATAATTTAAAAACAAACTTGGTCTTTTTTAAAGTTTATCTGCTAAATTAAAGTAAAAATTTTAATGATTGTAGATACAAAACAAAGATTGTGCATGTGCATTATAAGACAGGCTCAAAGTTTCAAACTTTTCAGGGTTTAGTATTGTTTTCTTATTTGGTTTGCGTTCGAGTTCCTACAAAGAAGTTAAATGAAAAAGTGTCATTAATAAATGGAAATCTGTATTTTGTTCTTCATATTTTTCAAAATTTCTCTGTAAAAACCTTGGTCTAGAAGATGAAAATTGTTCATGTCCACCTCTGCTTTGGACTGGACAGCACTTTGGACTTACCTGGGTCAGGATATTTTCTGAAAACTACAGTATGCCTGATCTCTTTTATATTGTTTATATCCATGTTCTGTCTGACTGGCAGAGAAGTACTTTTTTTTACATTTATTTCCTCCAGAGTTGTTTGTAGTTTGTGACAACTGGCTTATTAAAGTTGTCAAAACTTACTGTTCGGTCATTTTCTGCTCATCCTCTAAAACAAAAACACACATATATATATATATATTTTTTTTTTTTTTAATACTCTAGCCCAGGGGCCCCCATCCTGACTCCAGCCCAGGGGCCCCCATCCTCCTAAATCCGCCCCTGGTTAAGGGTTTTAAACGTCGAAAAAACTATTAACAGAAAAAGAGGGTTTGTTCAAGTTTATTTTCAAGATTCAGTCTCAAAGGTCAAAACCTCCAGTCAGTTCCACCTGCAGAGGACAGAAGCATCAGTACCACAATCAGCTCTCATGTAGTTCACAATATTCAGCCCTTACCTCATTAAACCTTCTGATCTCCTTTAGACCCAGACCCTGGGTTCTGTGGTGTTCCAGGTTGGTCATCAAATGTATCCTGGACATATTTGGAGTTGAACTGGTTGTTTCGTGCTCGCTTGTAGCCGTTGCTGGTATGGATGACGTAGGAATAAGGGTACAAAGGGCGGGGGGCAATCACTGACAGAGGAAGCTGGAAAGCAGAGGCCTGGAAAGACTGCTGGAAGCCACTATTGGAGGGTCCCATTCTGAGCAAGTCATCAATCATTGTAGAGATTGAATCATCTTGTGCAGGTGAGGAGCCTGCATCAGCACCAACACCAGAGAAGGGACCAAAAGTAGAACTAGGGACTTTGCCAAACCCCGGGTCAGCAGCAGCACCGGAACCAGACCCAGGTCCACCTCTCCTGGAGCCACGGCTTCCATAGAAATAACCTGCATCCATTTGACCTGAGCAGAGAAAGGAAAGCCAAGTCACACTGTTCAAAGCCTCTGGGTTAAAATACAAAACTCACCCAGTCAAAGCATTATGCAGCCAGGAAGTTTAAGCTGTACACTAAAATATGGTGCTACTAGATATAAACCCAAATCCAGGAAGAACATTCACACCCACCTTGTTGAACAGGAACACATGCTGCAATATGGAGGAGCAGGAAGCCAATCCAGGAGCTCCTATTGAGACAAGATTGTTGAGAAAATACAAGAACAAACATCTCAGCCATAAAAGATTAAAACCAACAACTCACATGAAAACACCCTGAAACACCATGATGACCTCAGAGAGAGAAAAGCTTTGTGCTGTAACTGCTCTGCTGCTGCAGCTGACTTTATATCAGAGCCTCAGCTGCTCTGATGACCCTCATCATGTTCACCTGGAGCCTTGATTCAGAAAGTGGGATTAACCTATTCTGAGTAGAGAGCAGTTAACCTGAGGCAACTTAATCTGCTTTATGATTTTAGAACGGAAGCCATTTCACCAAACCAAGATAAGGGATTAAGTCTGGATTTTCTGGAATAATTAAGCTTGAACTCAGTTTATGAAGGTAGTAACACATCGGTCACCGTGGGGATTTTTTTCTGTGTAGAGATCCTGCTGTGGACAAGACTACTAACCAGACTTATTTAGTCCTGGCTGCTGATCACACCAATGAGAAAATAATGAGTTTCGTCATTGATCACATTACCTTATCTGCATTTTGTGGTCTTTTTATAAGGCTAAAAATAAAAACCACTAGTATATATTGTTATATAGTAATATGTACCATTATATACCATTATAAACACTACAAGATTCTAGGTAAACAATGTTAGTTTTCAATGTGTTTTTAAAGATGGCCTTTTGTTCTAAAATGGACAGAATTGCTTTTAATAGACTATTATGTTGAAGGGATTAGAAAAATGCCCAGATTTGACTTTCATAATCATTTGCATCATTACAGCCTTTCTGGGGATAACATTCACTACCTGTGCAGACTTCAGCACAGAGCCATGCCTTTGCTGATGATGATCAGTGCTGGGCTCTGGTTTTCTGCTAGTGGAATTTTCCCGTACGAAGTAGGAGATGCTGAAAGTCTTTGCAAAGACAATATTTGCTGCACCTTCATAGGTGTGTATTTGGCATTAAAATAACTTTCCCTGATCAAAGAAAGAAAGAAAATCAAGGAGGGATCCTACAATATATCATGCAACATGAATTAGTCTAACTTTGAAATAGGTAGATTACTTCTGTTCATTGTTTTATACAGGATTTCCTGTATAAATATTATTGGTGCCAAACACATTAAGATTACATGCTCTTCTGGAGCAGATGAAGGTTTTTATCTGGTTTTTATTGACATCATGAGTTTTGTTCCCAGAGTAGAAAATCTTGAAGAGCCAAAAGTTTGACACCTGTCCTGTTCAGGTAAAACCATCAAGTGTCTCTTTTCCAAGGAGATATTAAAATTATGAATAAAATCAACTGATCTTGCAAAGCAGGCTTGTTTGATCCATTTATTCATGTAAAGAAACTCTCCTGTAAACCTCATGTCCTGCTGAAGGAGATCCTACAGGTCCAATAAGAACTACTTTAAAATAATAAAATTTATTTTTTATCCTTTAACTCTTCACTATTATGTTATTCTTATACATTTTTCTAAGGTCCATATTTGTGTGACCATTTTTTTCTATAATCTTTTTGCTGCTGTAAACACCAGAATTTCTCCATTGTGGGACAATAAAGGGATTTTTTATTCTATTCCATTCTTTTCTAAAATGTGTTAGTTTCACAGCGGTAAGCAGACTAATCAGGTCTCGATTTAATATTTCTGACTTCCTCTTAGCAACATCATTCAGTGCTTCAATTTGAATAAGTAAGTTCTTCAAGGTTGGATGTAATTCTGTGATCTGTGTTCTCCTCTTTGACGTTTCACTATCGCAGTAGAGCAGCACATGTGTTTTTTACTGGATCCAAACATTCTCAATAATCACAGTGGTTCTTTTTCTATTTTTTGTTCGTTTTGTTCTATTTTCAGAACAAAACGTTTTTTTTCCAGTTGTTGTTACTTGGAGTAAAAGATACGTTTCTCTGAATTCTTGGCCAGTTTTTACAATGTCGGTATGGAGTTCTCTCTGTTACGCAGCTTTTCAGATCTGGGTTGAATTATTTGTTTTTTGACTTTGCTTCAAGCGTTACCCAGTGAGGGCTACTGGTCTGGTTATTGTCATCAGAATCAGCTTATTGTTTCTTGGCTGCGTTGGTAAGTTGTTTCTCTGATTTTTTTCTGTTTTAAACCACTGATGGGATTTACGGATCATGTGAGATTAGGTCATAATTAGCGTTTGCCTCCACATTCACTTTCAGTGATTGATATTAATTTCCATCACAGCTATTTTCTGGGGAGGCTTGTTAAAGTCCTCTGTGGTAAAGGGCTGGACTTGGACTGTTCCTTCTCTCGGATGCAATTAAAATAACATCAAAATCAAGTGAGTAAGTAAGTAAAATATTTAAAAAGTCATCCAGTGAGAGAATCCCTGAAAGTTTGTTTGTTTTTTTGTCCAATTATCTGTAGATTTGACTAAGAGATAGTAAATATATAACTATGTAGATGACAACCAGATTTACATCACAATGTCACCGGGTGACTCTGCACCTGTTTGACCTTTCACTGGCATCACTAGTACGTCTGTACTCTACAAAGGTCGTTGAATGAAATGTCCATTTTGACAGGCTAAATGATATTGTACATTAGTGAAACTTTACCAACCTAAACTATAAACTTTTAAATTAAAGGCAAGGCCAGCTTATTTACATAGCACAATTCAGTACAAAGACAATTAACATGGAGATATGGTAATGATGATGATCAAACTCATTATTTTCTCATTGGTGTGATCAGCAGCCAGGACTAAATAAGTCTGGTTAGTAGTCTTGTCCACAGCAGGATCTCTACACAGAAAAAAATCCCCACGGTGACCGACGTGTTACTACCTTCATAAACTGAGTTCAAGCTTAATTATTCTAGAAAATCCAGACTTAATCCCTTATCTCGGTTTGGTGAAATGGCTTCTGTTCTAAAATCATAAAGCAGATAAAGTTGCCTCAGGTTAACTGCTCTCTACTCAGAATAGGTTAATCCCACTTTCTGAATCAAGGCTCCAGGTGAACATGATGAGGGTCATCAGAGCAGCTGAGGCTCTGATATAAAGTCAGCTGCAGCAGCAGAGCAGTTACAGCACAAAGCTTTTCTCTCTCTGAGGTCAACATGGTGTTTCTGGGTGTTTTCATGTGAGTTGTTGGTTTTAATCTTTTATGGCTGAGATGTTTGTTCTTGTATTTTCTCAACAATCTTGTCTCAATAGGAGCTCCTGGATTGGCTTCCTGCTCCTCCATATTGCAGCATGTGTTCCTGTTCAACAAGGTGGGTGTGAATGTTCTTCCTGGATTTGGGTTTATATCTAGTAGCACCATATTTTAGTGTACAGCTTAAACTTCCTGGCTGCATAATGCTTTGACTGGGTGAGTTTTGTATTTTAACCCAGAAGCTTTGAACAGTGTGACTTGGCTTTTCTTTCTCTGCTCAGGTCAAATGGATGCAGGTTATTTCTATGGAAGCCGTGGCTCCAGGAGAGGTGGACCTGGGTCTGGTTCCGGTGCTGCTGGTGACCCGGGGTTTGCCAAACCCCCTAGTTCTACTTTTGGTGCAGATGCAGGCTCCTCACCTGCACAAGATGATTCAATCTCTACAATGATTGATGACTTGCTCAGAATGGGACCCTCCAATAATGGCTTCCAGCAGTCTCTCCAGGCCTCTGCTTTCCAGCTTCCTCTGTCAGTGATTGCCCCCCGTCCTTTGTACCCTTATTCCTACGTCATCCATACCAGCAACGGCTACAAGCGAGCACGAAACAACCAGTTCAACTCCAAATATGTCCAGGGTACATTTGATAATCAACCTGGAACACCACAGAACCCAGGGTCTGGGTCTAAAGGAGATCAGAAGGTTTAATGAGGTAAGGGCTGAATATTGTGAACTACATGAGAGCTGATTGTGGTACTGATGCTTCTGTCCTCTGCAGGTGGAACTGACTGGAGGCTTTGACCTTGGAGACTGAATGAATCTGAAAATAAACTTGAACAAACAATATTTTACCGTCATCCCGTCATTTTGTGAACCGTTAAACCTTAATGATGACCAGCTGCTTCAATGTGTTCATTGGACTGTGTAAAATCAGTTTTCTGCAGTGCAGACATGCTGATTCAGTAAGGAGAGGGCAGGGTCTGCCTTTCTGGTAAACCACTGCACTTCAAAACCTACTTGAAGGATAGTACTTCTGTCAGTGGGGAACTTAAACTAAAGGGATGACCAACATTTGCTGTTCAAGGAATCTCGTCATGCTACCCAAGGTCACTTTATAGTAACGTCTGTTGGCTACCATAACTGACCTACAGATTTACAATGATTATGCACCTTTTTTAATTTGTCTGCTACAAACGTCTGTAGCAATGGATATCTGAAGAAGCGTAAAGTTGCAGGTTGACTGGATTAAGGACCTCTCTCAGGCACAAGGTTGGCACATCAGCAGTTTGACTCAGATAATATAATTTAAGCATTGAGGAAATGTGTTTGCATTTAAACTTAAACAGGTGAGTACCAATATCCAGTGCACGAGGTGTGTAATATCAAATTTCTTTTTTTCAGTATTGGTACCTATATCCTTTTTCTTGGTCTCGTAGGGTAAAGGTCAGAAATGTGGACCAGCAGAGGGCAGCATTGACCCGCTGCAAAATCTGAGCATTGGCTTGATCCGAACAAAATGTTTTTTGCTTTTGTGGACTTATAAAAAGGCTTGATTCTTCAGGATCCACATTTAAGGTAAAACTGCTCAATGTATAGCATTACAGTAGAAAGTTCCTTATCAGTTCTCCCCACCCTCTGATCAAATCTTTCAGCACCCCAGTATTGTCTGCAGGGACCTGCAGCTGGATTGAGATTAAATAAACAAAGTCCTATGAGCATGCCACAAGACTCACTACTCCAGTCAGGGGTTTGCTCAGACTGTGCCCTTTGGCATCCAGCTGCAAGGTTTTTCAGCCACTTTTCTGTAAAATGCATGTGTTGCAGAAACGTTTGGGAAACCATTTGGCCTGAAAAAATGTATGATCCGTTTTTGCTTTAACACCTGTAAAGTTAAACGGGTGCATGTGTTTCTCTATTTACATATTTTAAAATATGCCGTAATTAAACATTTAGGATCAGTTAGTTTTTGTCTCCCTTATGTCAAAGCTTTTGTGAGTGTCCTAGTCAAAGCCCAGACTTAAATCCAACAGATGTTGGGTGTGACCGTAAGCATAGCAATTATGTAAAAAAAAAAAAATTGGGTCAAAGTTCTCAATATCAAATGCTTGGTTGTTGCCAAGGGTGGAACTAATTAATTGCTTTAGGGGTCAATTACATTTTTAGATGGGGAGGTTTATTTCCTTAACATCTTACTTTTATTTATCCAGGTTTTCTCTAATTATTAAAATCTTATTTTAACTATCAAGTGTAGCTAAAAAGACCAACAGGATAAATGCAGAGGGGCTAAATAAATTCATATCTCTATATTCCTAAATTATAAATTTTTATAGGAAGGATTTCTTGTTTTTCAAAAAGAGGAAAGGTCATATGCTGCTTAAATTCTAATAAGCCGCCATCTGTAGGAACACGAAGCTGTTGGACTGAACCTGAGCTGTTTTCAATGTGTTTTTTCAGATAAACTTGTAACTGAAAGATTTTATCTGGTCTTACTGTATGTAAAAAAAAAAAAAAAACAGGAAAGCTGAGACCGATTCACATATTTCCTCTGACCTGCATATGCTGTGATTATAACCTAGGGATCAATTTCTGATAAGCTTCCATCCAAACAGCAGCGATAAAGGCTTCATAATACATCCATAAAATTTTACCCAGCTGCCCACTAAGATGTGAGCAATCACCTCTCACCTGTTCGATACCATCTGTTTGTCTGATCCTGCAGGTTACAGTGCTTCTGAATCCTGTTTGTTGCAAATAAACCGACGCAGAGAAGCAACAGATGTTTGTCTTCATGCTGCACTTTAACTGCTGTGTTGATGAACTTTACAACCGCCAACCTGCTGAATGCCCTGTTCAAATGTGCAATTGTTGACTTTTACCACATTTTTTTGAAGTTATAAGATACTCAAACACTTAAAGTGTGAAATTGGCATCAGTGGGTTTGTTTTAAATACTGGATAACACAATTTGTAATGCAAAGTGTAAAACAGTTGATATAGATATTCTAATCACACACAAAAAAGGACGTAACACAGTTTCTAAAATAAACCTAGAAATGGTTGTATGTCAGACCAGAGCTGTGGAAATGTTTTATGAAATTCAAGAGAAGCTCCAAAAATCTCAGATGTTATTAAACTTATTTAACATTTTCACACAGAGAAAAGTCTTTGAGAGAATACAGAAAATCTGGGCCAGATTAAAAAGCTGCAAGAGAAGCCCACAGATTTTGAAACAAAGCCAACCTGAGTTAACATGACCATTAAAGGTAAACCCTTAAAGCAAACTGGCAGCTGGCAGTAGCACCATGCACTGTGTGCAGATTCGACTGAGGTCTTTAAATAATGGTTTAAAAAATCGAACTTTCTGGCGAGAAGCATTACGCTGTAAAAACAATCTAGAAATAAAATGAAGTGTATTTAGCCTTAATTTGAGCAGGTAAATAAGATCTGCCAATAGAATGAGTATGTTTATTCTTAAAAAAAAGAATTTGCACTTGAAATAAGAAAATGTCATATTTTGAATGTAAATGCAGTTATTTTAAGAAGAAATTACTTATTTAAATTTCTTTTTTTTTTCAGTGTAAAATCTGTTTATATCAATGATGGTTTTTGCATGGAAGGTATTTTGGGCAAGCACTGTCTTCTGCCACCTCCTGAGCATTAAGATGCATGAAAATATTAGAAATGTCAAAGCTAAATTGAATAAAACAAAGGTTATTGTTTTTTTTATTTTGCTTATAGGATGTGTTTTCAGTTTAGCCTTTGCTCTTTTATTGCTTAGAATATTAAATCCCATCAAAATCCACATTACATAAAGAAACAAATCCTAGTTCTTTTGAATCTCTACCTTGTTGTGTTTTTTCGTTTTGATTTACATGTTTTTCATCAAATTCCTCCTTCAAAACTATTTACCTGTGTTCTTTATGGCTGCAGCAAAATTTCTAAGTTCCATCACGGGAAAATCCGATAAAACAAACAACTAGAAGCAGAACTTTGACCAAAACCAGCTGAGCAGCTCAATTGTGACGACCATTATGATGTCATCAACCCAAAAAAACTACTTGATTTTTTAAATTTTTTTTTTAAGTCTGCAGGGACCTCCATACTTAATTAACCAAACTGTTATTGGCACATTATGTAGAACCACTTGGTGGGCTTCCTATTTGTGAGTTGTGGAAAGAAAAACTTTGCAGCAGAACTAGAACCAGAGCAGGGCTCAGTGTGAACGGCCTTCTGCTTCAAACGTGCACGCAAACAATTTCACAGAAGCACTGATCCAGGTGCAGCCTGTAAGTGAGAAAAAGCAAAACATAGCAGCAGTAGCTGCTCATTTAATGGCTCCATCTAGGAGACAAACACAGCTGAGCTGATGAGCTCAGATTAAGTTTTGAAGGATTGCTGCGAAGTCAGCGACACAATGCATTAGACTTACCTGTCACTGCATGCTCCTCCAAGACGATCCAATGGAGTCAGCAACTTTTGGTGATCTGCTGAGTTGCCATAGATAGAAAACCTTTAAACCAAACTGTTTGATTTTAGTTGACTTTTTAAACTCATGTTTTGAATTAGCAATGTATGATTAAGCTGAATTGAAATTAATCAGAGAAAGATAATTAAATGTATTTAACAGGTTAACAGAAAGTAATGCTTCTTTGAGGTAGAATATTAAAGCAAGGGGGGAGAAGGAATTCTGTTGCTTAAATAACAGTGAATAATGTGCAGACTCTTCTCAGAAGTGAAGTGGAAACTTATTAGAAAGGTGTAAATCCCAGGTAATTGTCGGGTGGTGACATTTTTACTCAGAAAGGAGCTTTTCCTCTCTGAGGGAAAATAAATTAAACAGAAAAAATGGTCATCGTCAGGCTTTGCGTGTGGTTCAACCACATGCAGAGGCTCATGTGTCCTCAGACACGTCCAGCTAACCTCTTCATGACGCAGTTCATTACCAACAGCCTTCATCTGCCGAACATGTTGGCATCAGGGCAAAACACAAACATAACAGCAGCAAAATATACAACAACATCTCACAGAAGAAAACCAAACCCATATTTCTGAGAGGTTGCCGAGTTCGCCGCAATGTCATAGGTTTTGGATTCATTGCTCATTTCCTGAAGCAGCATGAGGATCAAAGACCAAGGAGAGATAAAAATACCTGACCTGGGATAAAAAAAAAAAACAATGTTTTATAACACCTTTATAATTTTTTCCCAAATAAAGTGATAATCAGAACTCGTTTTATATCTTTGTGTATCTTATTTTATTAAAAGACAGTCTTTATACTTCATCACAGTTATAATACATTTAATATAGCTGTAGAAAGGCTGATCTGATATTTTATACAAAGATATATTTACACATTTTCTGAATCATTCAATTCAATTATTAAAAAAAGCAACACAAAAAAAGGAGAGTGTTGGCCTAGTGGGTTTAGCAGTGCGCCTGTGCTCTGAGAAGGTTGCAAGTACCGGGTTCGATCCCCACAGCCTCCACTCTGGATTCCTGAGCAAAGACCCTTAACCCCACACTGCTCCCAGGGTGCCGCACAATAGCAGCCCACTGCTCCCAGAGGGGATGGGTTAAATGCAGAGATAGATTTCTCCAATGTGAGATCAATAAAGTTCAATTATTATTAAATCCTGCTATAGTCGGTTTTTACATTGTTTGGAATCTGAAAATTATTTTCATAAAAAACTTTTATAAAAGGTGTACTGTATTTCTTTCTGATACTATAGTCATTTATTCTTATCAAGGTTTTTATTATATCTTTATGTATTCTTGTGTGAATTTACATGCTTTCATTTACCTGTTACCTTAGCACCAGCACCCCCACTATGTCACAATAAATGTATCTATTGTATTCTATTCTGTTCTATTTTAAAGCATTAGTTAACCTCCTATAAGGTGGAACCACGCAGTGTTACGTCTGACTCTGTTTTTTTAGAGTTTGTACTCTTTACAAACAATCAAAGCTAAATCAGGAGAAGCAAAGTACAGCCGTCCAATGTTAAATCTGTATATGGTTTTGATTTAGGTGTTGTTTAAAGTACAAAGTCTGACCACAAATTTATTTTCCTTTGGTTCTTAATTCAAATGTTGTGGAAAAGTGTGATTTATGAAGCTTTATTATACTTTGTTGTAATTAGTTTGTTGCTTCAGCTTCAATCTATTTAAGGATAAATTAACTTGTTTTAAAAATGTTCCTCTTTGCTATAATAAAGGGCTGCATTAAGTTGTTTGTGAAGATAAATTGGTGTTTTATTTACTATTTAATTTCTGCATTCGTTCACACCAAACTTAATCTCAAGATATTTTTATTTACATCCTTACCAATCGTTCAATTCAATACAAGGCCATTCATTATAATTCAGGGTTTTTTTTCCCCAACAGTATTGAATACAGAAGAGTCACATTCAATTAATTACAGATCACAGATTTTTAAAAGATATCGGAGTTAAATAGCAGATTGTTTGTGGCTTTTCCTTATTCAGACATCAATGGTGAGAACTTCCATTAACTAACTTAGAGCTTAAAGAAGAGAAAAAAGGACAAATGGCCAGTAATGGCCCAAAAGGAATTTCTATGAGAAGTTTGCAAAAACAGAAAACACAGAATTAGTGACAATATGTACCAATAAAGTGCAGTCTCTTCAGCCAAATGACATAAACTACTGTAAATACAAGCTTTATTTAAAAGGAAAGTTTTAATTGTCTCAAAAGTAAAATTAATGTGTGGTTAGATTAAAGCTCCGAGCATGAGATGAGCCAGATTACTAAAAAATCTGAATCCAGTTTTAGTTTTTGAAACTTTATGAGCAACAAGTTTGCCTGCAATCAGAGAGTGAAGTGCTCACTTGTAAAAATTAAAACAGCCAGAAACAGTTTTAATAAAAAGTGTTTATGAAGTCTATTTTGAGCCGGTAACATAAATCAGTAGATGTGTCTACTTTGATGACTGATAACTGATTATCATCACCATAACAATAAATCAAATGGAAAAACAAATAGACCAGGAAATAGTTTTAGGTAGTGCCAGCACTGTACAAAAAAATAAATAGATAAAATAATAAATCATATAGATAACTAACAATTCAAATATAGTTCTTATTATAAGTTTTAGAAAAAAATCTTATTTTAGGTTTTTGTTGTTGTTTGCCTTTGTTTTTTCTACTGTTTGTTAAAAAAAATCTTCGGAAATTAATTTCTAGCATGAATATATAATTCAGATCGGACATATTTTATGTGATTAATTTAAAGGGAACAAGTGTAGGGCAAAACATGAGGCATATCATTTAGATTAATTCCTATTAGTTAGGGAAGACCATTTAAATCAGACTAAGCATTTTTTTCTTGCCGCACAAGCAGCAATTTCCTGTTTGTCGTCATGACTGACGAGAAGTGAGGATAAAATATCTTATTTATTTATTGATGTGTACTAATAGCTCTTTAATATCGCCTATAAAGCGTGCTGTAAAGCATACTTTTTAAACGGTATGTAAAATAATCGATTGGTCAATTCTTCAGATTACGAATAAGAGTTGTAACGGGATTGGTCAATAGATCATCCACGTTAGAGGGTGAACGAGTTTTCTCCTCCTTCCCCGTCATATGATTCTGCCCCCCTCCGATCAATGGAGGCCTTCAATGATTGGTCGGTAGTAAAGTGACGTCGCTCCAGTGTGATATTAGCCAATTCCGTAGAGCTATTCCTGGAAGAGGCGGAGCCTCGTGACATTCTTTAGAAGCCGGTGTTTCGTGTGACCCGGCATTAAGTATCTACCCGAGCTGGGAGCGACACAATTAGCTATTTATTTATTTATTCTACTTTATTTTTTATTGTTTGAAGATAACCATGCTGGGCTTGTGCCTTTACGTCCCCGTGTCCAACTCGGACCCAGTGGAAGTGGAATACTTTGAATCTAACGGACTACCGTCGGAGCTGAAGTCTCTGTTCAACCAACTCAGCGTGTTTCTGCCCTCCCAGGAGTTCTCCACCTACCAAGAATGGAGAAAGGTAGGACTGAAAATTAAACTTCTTTCCTCGTCATCGACCATATACATGGAGAAAAAAATTGTTTTGTTTGACAAAGTATAAGTTAAGTCTTAATTTTTACATGTATTCTTCCTCATCCTTTAATGGCCGTGTTTAGGCGGGCGGAAGTGTAGGCCGCAAAGCGGTAAAGACCGGTTTCCAGAAAATTCGTTTAGGCACGTTTATGCTTCTATAGGGACTGTAACACATCGCTCTAAAGCAGTTTGCACTACATTGAGATGGTCAGTCATACAATTGTCTCTGTCTAATGATGCTAAAGGAACAATATTGGTTCAGATAACTGGGAAATTCCGACTTTTAGACAAGCTGCTGCGGTTAAAACACAATGGGTCACAAGAGTCTGACTAAACCTACATTTACAGGCAAAAATAAAAATAAATCAACGCATCTTTTAAGTCTCATTATATTACAAACTTACCTTATATATCAATATATTTATTATAATGCCTATTATTTATTTATATATACATATATATGAAATATTAAAGGAGAGTGATGCTTAGTCATTTAGTCATTGAAATATGCAACAAGGACTATTTGTGAGAAGTTGTTTAGTTTGTGTTAAAAAAAAATCCTTATTTTTGTTTTGTATATTAAAACTTTTTTTATTTGGAAAACATTTTTCCCAAACCCTTGAACCACTAACTACCACATCAGCTTGACTATTTTACATCAGTTTGATATATTTTGAATAATTTTGTGCTTAACCAACAACTGTACAATCAAAAATTTTACTATGCTATGAATATTCCACACTTGCATTTGTAAAGTTAAATTATTTCTTTGGCACAAGTTTAAAGTGACCAAGCCTTTTTTTTATAGAACAGATAATCAACTGAAATCTGCTTTTATGGCCTTGATTTATTTACATTTCCAGGTTACTATCAAAGAAATATAAAATCAATAAATGCTGGAAAGAAGTCCCTTTGTCTAAAGTTTGAAAATCTGTCTAGTAGGTCCTTTGAGCTTTTGCACGGGCTGCAGGGCTTGGTTGAAATGGTCTCTGCAGGATATCGTTACAGTCATATGCCTGCAGGGCTTGGGACTTGAGGTCAAATGTCTGTCCTGTTCAGCACCCTGGAGTACAGCATGTTTAACTGTCCCTGTTGCAGCTCAGCAGGTCTGAGGCCAGACAGGATTACAGCAGTTGGTAGGTCAGTCTGAAGCAGATGTTAAAGATAGCATTTGGTGGTTAGTATTAAGTGATGCATTTGTGGCCAAGAACTGTGGAGCTTCATCCTTAGGCGTTAAAATGCGAGCTGCGGGGAACCTTTAAAGCTCCAGTGTCATGACCCATCAGTGGTTTGACATGCAGAACATTGCGATCCAGCATCTCTTCTTGCATAAGCAATTCAGTTTGTTTAATTACAGCTGCATGATTCTGCAAAATGTCATCATCTCTGAGGACATATTTATCTATAAAAAATCTTAATTTTTTTCTATGAACCCCATTAATCCTTTGACTGAAATACTAAAATGATTTTATTAACTTTCATTGCAGAAAACTGTGGAGGGGGGAGAGAAAAAAGCCGACGGGCAGCTGGACTTTGAGGAGTTTGTTCACTATCTACAGGACCACGAGAAAGACCTGAAACTTGTAGTGAAGAGTCTCGACAGGAAGAATGCAGGTATGCAGCTGCTTTTTCACATGCTTGTGGTTTTTTCGCTTTTGATTTCAGTCTGACGATGCTAATTCTTTCTTTTTAGGCCGCATCGATCCCACCGAGCTGATGCAGTCTCTGCGTGACCTTGGCGTCCATATTTCCCTGCAGCATGCCGAGACGGTCATTAAGAGGTAATTAATAATAATAATCCTTTTATGATGCTTTGTCTGGTTTTGTTTGTTTGAAAGACATTCATATCTGCCTTTTTATTTTCTTTTGAAGTATGGATAAGAATGGCATAATAACGATTGGCAGTAAGGACTGGAGTAAATGCCCCACAGCGGAGAAAACTGAAAACATTCCAGAGATCATCCTTTACTGGAAACACTCCACGGTTAGTTCCTCTTTCTTTTTCTGCATTCATTTCAAAGGAAATTAGGACGGCTAATTTTTGCCTGTATTATATAAGTTTTCAGGTGACCCATTTTACCCAGATAACTCTTATCAATACAGCCTATGCTATCATTCAGGCTAATCAAAGCAATCAGGGTAATGCACTTGGTCTCCTCCCTGTTCTTTGAATTGATCAGGGTGCTGAAGATCATAGTCTGCCCAGGCTGTGCGTCATGTATTAAGCCCTATTAGGCCTCATGGAAAGAAATCAGGGTTGCTTTAGTGGGGATTATGTTGGAAAGATCTTCCAACTTGCTGAGCTGTTATGTAAATGAGGGCAGCAGTCAGAACCGGTGCAGACCTTCTGCTCAGATCCTGCAGCAGCTTATTTTAGCTGCTGTTGAGCCCGGTGCAGCTCTGCAGACACGTCGGAGCAGAGAATAGAGTTGGTCAACCCTCACATGGAGGCCAAGGACACTGTGAATTGGTGGTGAAACCCCAGCTGTTAGAGGGGCTTGACTGGACAGTAAATCATGTCAGTGGTCACAGGTTGGGAGGCAACATGGAGTTTGATACATAGATACATACATAGAACAAGTCAAATTCTGACCCCAAGTTTGCCTTGTTCCTGTGATTACTGTCCACATGCTGTGCTTCTCTTACAGTTCGGGTTCCTGGTTAAGGGATCAGAGCTGACTTAGAAAAAAAAACAAAACGGAAGGAGTCAGTTCCTGACCTTGATCACCTTAAAGGGAGTCTTCCTGCAGTTTCAAGCGCTCCTTCACTTTGTTCAAGGAGCCAGGATTAAAAAATCTGCGTCAATGCCCTGGTAATAATCCCAATAATCATCTAAGTCCTGACTGGTGTTGTGTGTAAAGATGGACTGTGTGATCCGTGACAGCTTAGCTCGATCCTTCCTGTGAAAGGACAACCTGCCCGGTGACTCATATTTTCCATTCACAGGAGCTCCGTCACATGTCACTAATGATGAAAGCCTCAGAGGTCAAAGCAGAGGCCTTTAGTGGAATGTTACAGATTGGCTCTCTGCAAGACAAAAAACAAAAAGGCTATCCAGCATTATGTTTGAAATTTAACTAGAGATGCACCAAGTTATCAGAGATCAGGACTGGCAGGGATTCCCTGGACTGGGTCTGATTAGGAAAAATGTTAATAAAATAGTAACATTGTGGGTGGAATTTATTTATAAATGTTTAAAGCTGTTAAATAAATAAAAAAATGTTCTCTTGGCAGATATTTGATGTGGGTGAGAACCTGATGGTGCCTGATGAATTCACTCTAGAAGAGAAGCAGACTGGAATGTGGTGGAGACACCTGGTCGCAGGTGGAGGAGCTGGAGCTGTTTCCAGAACCTGCACCGCCCCGCTGGACCGTATCAAAGTCATGATGCAGGTGAGCCACAATAATTGGCATACCACTTAAAATTTTAGAAGCCGTTGCTCAACGACGCTTTATCTAAAAAGCGTAAACAGGTTAAAGTTTAACAGTCAGTGAGTAAGAGCAGGGTGGGCAGAGTCCATGAGCCGGTTCTGTCTGCCGTCGGCCAATCAGAGCTCAGGAACGGGCATCGCACCCTCTGTTCTGAGGTTGAGGACGCCCTGTGCCCAACAAATAGCTCTGGTCCATCAGAGTAAACTGACGTAAACGTTTTCATCGATTGAAAACGAGCTGCCAACAGTTGAACCAACCTGACCCAGTTGGCCAGAGTTTTAAGACCCACATGATCATATTCCTAGTTGGCCTAAACGTTTAGATCATTAATTTAAAGTGCTACTTTAAGTTTTGAAATCCTTTTATTAACCTGCTGGCTGTTCTCTCCTTCCAGGTTTACGGGTCTCGGACCAACAACATGTGCATTATGAGCGGCCTCATGCAGATGATCAAAGAGGGTGGCACGCGGTCGCTGTGGCGCGGCAACGGGGTGAACGTCATCAAGATCGCGCCTGAATCAGCTCTAAAGTTCATGGCCTATGAGCAGGTAAGCAAAGCGGCTCGTTTGAGAAAATCAAACCAGGTTTCTCTGCTGTTCCTCATTCATTGAGCTTTTCCTTCTAAATTGGTTTCTGCAGATTAAGCGTCTAATCGGCAGCGATAAGGAGACTCTGAGCATTTTGGAGAGATTTGTGGCGGGTTCTTTGGCTGGAGTAATAGCCCAGAGCACTATCTACCCCATGGAGGTGATTATCCTTTTTTATCTCCCACCTGGAGCGCCTTCGGCTTCAGATGAACATTTAGTAACTTCTCCTGTTTTGTTGTCAGGTTCTAAAAACCCGTCTGGCTCTGAGGAAAACCGGTCAGTACGCTGGAATCTCTGACTGTGCCAAGCAGATTTTCAGGAAGGAAGGCCTGGGTGCCTTTTACAAAGGCTATGTCCCCAACATGCTGGGCATCATCCCCTACGCAGGCATCGACCTGGCGGTTTACGAGGTGAGCAGACAGACTCTAACCACTTGTCTTCTGTAGGGTGTTTGCTCTCGACAAACCAGAGTCTGATTTTCCTCTCTTATGGTTTCCCTCTGACAGACGCTGAAGAACAGCTACCTGCAGCAGTATGGCACCAACAGCACGGACCCCGGCGTGGTGGTCCTGCTGGCCTGTGGGACAGTGTCCAGCACCTGCGGTCAGCTAGCCAGCTACCCCCTGGCTCTGGTCCGAACCCGCATGCAGGCACAAGGTAAGCCTCATTTTAGGTCTACAAGTACTGGCAATCCGGTTCTGCTTTCATTCATGTTTAATAATTTAAATTTTGTTTTGAATCTCTGCAGCTGTGGTGGAGGGTAACCAGCAGCAGGTGTCCATGAGTGGCGTCTTCAGGCAGATCCTGCAGAATGAAGGCCCCACAGGTCTCTACAGGGGCCTGGCCCCCAACTTCCTCAAAGTCATCCCCGCCGTCAGCATCAGCTATGTGGTGTACGAGCACCTGAAGTCTCAGCTGGGGGTGACATCCCGCTGATCGCCATCGAACCCGCCGCATACTCTCGATTGCACCAAACTCTGTCCTAGAGCTCGCATTAGAATCCCGCCGGTGGTTCGTGTGGCCGTCTCATTCTGTGAATGTCAGCTGACGTCATGCTGGGGAGGAGATTATGGACTCTGTGAGCTCAGGTTGTCAGGATAATGACTGCTGCTATTTATACTGAGACTCAGATGAAAAGCGACTGAATGGGGGAAATGGAGGACCAAATGTTTTTTGTTTGTGAGTCAGATGTCCAGGTCTTTCTATGTTTGCACCACCATTTCTCTGGGGTAAACCTACTGCCACCCTGTTATTCTGTTGTGAGAAGATTTTGCACAAACTCTTTGTCTTCTCTCCCTCTCTCGCGTCCTGAATGTCTGAGCACTGAGTGACTATTTATTTTCACCCCCTCCTGTATTTATTGCTCTCTTTAGGTAAAGAGAACAAGCCAATAGTGCTGTTAGATTCACGGTGTGGGATGATCGCCTTAACATCCGTCGAACACTAAATATAATCGTGAAGTTTTATTTTCAAAACAGAAAAGTTTGTGAGCACATGTGTGCCTTTCAGAGGAATGTTGTCCTTAATGTTCACCTCAGGTTGAAGGGAAATGTATTACTGTTCACTGATGAGCACGTTTGTTCAAAATGAGGAGTTTGGGGGAAATGAGCAGCATTTTGCACTTTAATTAATGTTAGATGGGGCTATAAATGACTTGTCAACGCAGGATGAGAAGCTTTTGTGAAGAATTACATTTTAGTATTTTAATGGACCATGTTGATGCAAATAAATGCATACTTATATAAAGTCTGTGTGTTGGTTGTCTTTATTTTAATACAAAGCTCTAGAGCATGCTGGTATGAACCACAAATGAAAGTGGGAATATACTTCAATGGATCTAGATGGAAAGGTAGAAAAAAGCTGCTTTAAGGGAAAACTGGTTTCTAAAAGCATTTTTCTTCTGGTAAACAAGCTTTTGTTGTTCAACATTCTCGAGAAGTAGGAAATAACTCCAACATTCAGAGTTAGAACTGGAAAACCTTTAAATATAAGAACCTTAAGTTGAACTCGAAGTAAATTAAAACAAAATATAAACTGCTGATCACTTTTAAAAGCTACACTTTAACTTTCTAGCTCTCATATTCCTGTTCCAGGCATTGTTTTATAGAGTTTAAACTAAACTGAATCCACACCAGTAGATTATATAAATAGAAGTGCTGTTTGTATTCCTGTTTTGAATTGATTTATATTGGCGTTAATAAAATTTGGTAGTTTTGGAAAAACTGATCGACATGGAGTGTTCTTTCGTAGAATAGCTTTTTTTATGCCCATTAAAAGCTGAAATTTTCTTTTAAATTAACACAATAGAACAAGAAAATGTAGATTGCTTAAATACTCTCTCCAAACCTGCCTTGAGGTAGATTTAAATGGGTTTCTGTTCCCAGGGTAACTTTTCATGACGAAATGTTCCCACGGTTTAAATTCATGAAGAGTATCCATTTTTGTGTTTAATGTGCAATCAGACTCTCTGCTATGGTCACAGTTTTGAATCGTGACCCACTTAAAGATGCAGGTGATGGAGCTTGGAATAGAGCTGCAACCAGTCAGCTGACTGGGACCTCCGGGCTGTTTCCGTCTGGAGGGAGAACTCAGGGCTGACCCAGAGAGCTCAGCTATTTATTCCTCCTGGCCTCTGGAGATCCTCAACAACAGTTTCTTTAGCTGTCATTGGGCAAAAAGTGGCTCAGTAAAGGCCCATCACAGGGAAATCAGTACTTATTGGAACACTTAAAATCTGGTGGATATATTGGTTCTTGGACTGTGGTAGGAAACTGGAGAAATCAGAGGGAAACTATAATCATTCAGGATAACAATGCTAGAAGCTACCTGGAATATAAAATCTCAGAGGTGAGATTGGACTCATTGTGCGGCCCACATTTACACATTTATAGAACACCATTTCACAACAATGAGTGATAGATGTTCTTTATCGGGTTTCTCAATAAGCCATAAAATATTTCCGCTTAAAGTCAAGTTAAACAGTAATTTTCTGAGGACGTGTATTCAAGTTTGGCTTATCAACTGTTTCCCAGAAGCATCAGGGAGTGTCAAGAAAACTGTGCCGAGCAGATAAAGATTAAAGACACATCAAACCCTGTCGGGATGGAATGACTCACTGTGGTTTAAGGACACAACTGAAAATGATGTAACCTTTGAATTTATTCTTTATTCTCACTTTAGCCTGTATAGAAACCAGCATTCACCAAGAACCAGTCCAGGAAAAAGCAATGTTACATCAACAATAAATAAAACAGTCCTCTTGAGTATTTTCTTCTAGATATATTTACTTTTGCTTTTTTTCACAGTAAGATGTTTCAGATCATCAAGCAAATTTCGAATGTCAACGAGTAATGTTAGAAAAAATACTTTAAATATATAAATTATTTGAGAATAAGAAATCTTTTTAATTTAACACGCTCTTTCAACACAAGTTTTAACAAGTTCCTGTTCATTCTCTAAAATATAACCACAACCATCAATCAATCTATATATATATATATATATATATATATATATATATATATATATATATATATATATATATATATATATATATATATATATATATATATATATGTGTATATATGTATTTCAATTTCACTTTAGGACAAATAGAGTTTTTCTTTTTTATGAATTGAACTGAATTGAGTGCTGTGCTAGTTCTATAGATGATGTAAAGGGACAAACTTTGTCCAAAGGAGGTCCACTTTTGTCTTCTCAGTCCACAAAATACACTGGATTAGAAGTATTTGAGGTAAACAGGAAATGGGCCTTTCTCAGCAGGGATTTTAGCCCTTGACCTGGACGCCATATTTGTTCAGTGGAGCAGAATTAAGTGGAATCCTTTGACTTGATCGTTAAAGAAGTATGTGAATGAAAGGGTTTTAATTGTATTTTATGTTTCTTTTAAGAAAAATGTGCCTACAATTCCAAGCAGCTGTGACCTATAGGTTGTCATTTGAACTACAGGTGCTGGTCATAAAATTAGAATATCATGAAAAAGTAGATTGATTTCAGTAATTCCATTTAAAAAGTGAAACTTGTATATTATATTCATACATTACATACAAACTCATATATTTCAGATGTTTATTTTGTTTAATTTTGATGATTACAAATGACAACAAATGAAAATCTCAAATTCATCATATCAGAAAATTAGAATATTGTGAAAAGGTTCAAAATTGATGGCCCCTGGTGCCACACTCTAATCAGCTAATTAACTCAAACCACCTGCAAAAGCCTTTAAATGGTCTTTCAGTCTAGTTCTATAGGCTACACAATCATGGGGAAGACTGCTGACTTGACAGTTGTCCAAAAGACGACCATCGACACCTTGCACAAGGAGGGCAAGACACAAAAGGTCATCGCTAAAGAGGCTGGCTGTTCACAGAGCTCAGTGTCCAAGCACATTAATAGAGAGGCGAAGGGAAGGAAAAGATGTGGTCGAAAAAAGTGTACAAGCAAGAGAGATAACCGCACCCTGGAGAGGATTGTGAAACAAAACCCATTCAAAAATGTGGGGGAGATTCACAAAGAGTGGACTGCAGCTGGAGTGAGTGCTTCAAGAACCACCACACACAGACGTATGAAAGACATGGGTTTCTGCTGTCGCATTCCTTGTGTCAAGCCACTCTTGAACCACAGACAGCGTCAGAAGCGTCTTGCCTGGGCTAAAGAGAAACAGGACTGGACTGCTGGTGAGTGGTCCAAAGTCATGTTCTCTGATGAAAGTAAATTTTGCATTTCCTTTGGAAATCAAGGTCCCAGAGTCTGGAGAAAAAGAAGAGAGGCACTTCATCCACGTTGCTTGAAGTCCAGTGTAAAGTTTCCACAGTCAGTGATGGTTTGGGGTGCCATGTCATCTGCTGGTGTTGGTCCATTGTGTTTTCTGAGGTCCAGGGTCAACGCAGCCACATACCAGGAAGTTTTAGAGCACTTCATGCTTCCTGCAGCTGACCAACTTTTTGGAGATGCAGATTTCATTTTCCAACAGGACTTGGCACCTGCACACAGTGCCAAAGCTACCAGTACCTGGTTGAAGGACCATGGTATCCCTGTTCTTAATTGGCCAGCAAACTCTCCTGACCTTAACCCCATAGAAAATCTATGGGGTATTGTGAAGAAGAAGATGCAATACACCAGACCCAACAATTCAGAAGAGCTAAAAGCCACTATTAGAGCAACCTGGGCTATCATAACACCTGAGCAGTGCCACAGACTGATCGACTCCATGCCACGCCGCATTGCTGCAGTAATACAGGCCAAAGGAGGCCCAACTAAATACTGAGTGCTGTACATGCTCATACTTTTCATGTTCATACTTTTCAGTTGGCCAACATTTCTATAAATCCTTTGTTTTTATTGGTCTTCAGTAATATTCTAATTTTCTGATATGATGAATTTGAGATTTTCATTTGTAATCATCAAAATTAAACAAAATAAACATCTGAAATATATGAGTTTGTATGTAATGTATGAATATAATATACAAGTTTCACTTTTTAAATGGAATTACTGAAATCAATCTACTTTTTCATGATATTCTAATTTTATGACCAGCACCTGTATATTGAACAAAAAACACCCTCTAGTGATGTAGATAAGCACATTTTCTAAGTAAATTAATTACCGGGGAGTAGAGTTACAGATTTGCTGACTTTGGATGACCTTTATCTTGACTTTGACTTGAATGCTAATGATCTGTGACTTGATCTGTCATCCCCTCTATGACTAATAATAATAATAATAATAAAAAAAATAACATATATATATATATATGTAATCAGGTTCTGTCACAGTAATTTACTTAACTGTTTTGTCACAATCTTAAAACTGTTCAAAGGTTTTGTTAAGTTAGCGAGATTTGTCCTTCCAAGGCTACCGTACCAAAACAGGAAATGTTTTAATACAAAGTGTAACCTGGAAAGCTAGCTCTGCGATGGTGTCAAGGTTTGTTCTCTGTCACGCATTTAATAAAAAAAAAAAAAAAAAACCAGCAGCAGAATAAATCTTGTTATTATAGTTTGTTTTGTGTCTTTGTAATTAGATGGTACAGAGTGTGTTCCGGTCTGGTTTTCTGGTGCGGGTCTGTCACACCGTGCTAACCTGGGTCATAACTCTGATTCTATTCCTGCACAACACCGGTAAGATCATTTCACTTGTCCCGGTTTAAAAGTTAAGGTTTATGAAAGCAAAGTTTAAATTCAAATAATTAACTGTTTCCAGTAAAAAAAATATATTCATTTTTTATTGTTAATTAGATGTTGATTTAAATTGGTACCTTAAGGGCTTTTTTTTTTTCTCTAAACAAGAAATAATGTTTCGGTCTCTTTGCAAATTTGATCATACTACTACAACGGATGAACTTAAGTTATAAACTAGAAAAAGAATCATGTTTTTGTCTCTTTGACCTGTTATTCACAGTCTGCAACTACCAGAAACTGAATGCTGAGCTTGTGTTGAGGATGGAGCCCTAGAATAGAAAATAAAAGAAATACACTTACTTTTCCAGAATGGGAAAATTCTGGCAAAAGCACCTGAAAACATCGAAATGATGCCCAAGAGTAGATAAATGTACCCTAAATGCACCAGGGAGCATTATCACAGATCCTTCCTCCCAGCAGCTGGAAGACTTTATAACCACCACTGTTCTTTATAACCTCAATAAGTTGGTAAATTCATGCTGATTTTGCACAGTTTCCATCTTAGTCAGTTAATAACATGCTACTGTTATGTTGCACATC